TTACCTACTTCTTCAGTTTGAAATTGGTCAAACATGCAATCAAGATGTTGTGATAATTATTGGTGATTGGAATGCAAAGGTGAGAAACAAAGAGGAAGGATCTGTAATTGGAAAATAGAGCTTTCATGATAAAACAATGTATTGCATGAAAGAATTTTGAAAGACCAATGACTTCTTCATTGCAAATGCCTTTTAAATTTAACATAATTGATGACTGTACACATGGACCTCACCTCATGGAATACACAGAAATCAAATTGACTACATCTGGAAAGGAATGGTTGAAAATCTATGTATCATCAGCCAAAACAAGGTCAGGGGCAAACTTGTGGAACAGACCATTAATTGCTCATATGCAAGTTCACGCTCAAGCTGAAGAAAATTAAAACAAGTGCATGAGAGCCAAAATATGACTTTGGACATAGCCTGCCTGAATTTAAAGATCAATCTCAAGAACAGATTTGAAGCATTAGACACTAATGACTGAAGACCAGAAGAGTTGTGAGATGACATCAAGAACATCATACAGGAAGAAAGCAAAAGATCATTAAGAAGACAGGAAAGAAGGAAAAGACTAAAATAAATGTCAGAAGAGACTCTGAAACTTGCTCTCCAGCGTAGAGATGCTAGAACAAATAGAATAAATGAGGCAAAAGATTTGAATAGAAAATTTCAAAGATTATTCTGAGAAGACAGTCAAATATTATAATAAAAATTGTAAAGACCAGGAATTAGGAGATCAAAAGAGAAGAACATGCAAAGCATTTCTCAAGTTGAGGGAACTGGGTGGGGGGGGAGCAAAAACAAAAAACTTAAGCCTTGATAGCAATATTGAAGGATTCTATGGACAAAAAGCATCAAAAGAATACACAGAGTTATTGTATCAAAAAAAGGGGGGGGGGCAATGTTCAACCATTTGAAGAAGTAGTATTTGATTAAGATTTGATTAAAAGCCAGTGATGCTGAAGAAAGAAGTGCAAGGTGCACTGAAGGCACTGGAAGAGAACAATGCTCCTGGCATTTATGGAGTGAATTCAAATTGAAATCTTTCAACAAACTGATACAGCACTAGTGGTACACTCACTCACCTATGCAAAGAAATTTGGAAGACAGCTACCTGGTCAACTGACTGGAAGTGATCCATATTTGTGCCCATTCCAAACAGAGGTGACCCAATGGAATGCAGAAATCATCTGACAATGTAATTAATATCACATGCAAGAAAATTTTGCTAAAGATAAAAAAATGGCTGCAACAATACATTAACAGAAGTGCCAGAGGTTCAAGCTGGATTCAGACAAGGACGTCGAACGAGGGATATCATTGCTGATGTCAGATGGATCTTGGCTGAAACAATACTAGAAAGATGTTTACCTGTGCTTTACTGACTACCTACAGGCTTTTGATTGTGTGGATCATGACAAGCTATGGACAACGTTTCGGAGAATGAATATTCCGAAACACTTAATTGTGTTCTTGAGGAACCTGTACATAGACCAAGAAGCAGTTTTGTGAACAGAACAATGGAACACTGAATGGTTTAAAACTAGGAAAGGTGTGCACCAGGGTTGTATTCTTTCACCACACTTACTCAATCTGTATGCTGAGCAAATAATTCAAGAAGCTGGATTATATGAAGAAGAATGTGACATCAGTATTAGAGGAACACTCATTAACAAATTGCAGTATGCAGATGATACAACCTTGCTTGCTGAAAGTAAAGAGGACTTAAAATACTTACTGATGAAGATCAAACACGATAGCCTTCCATATGAGTTGCACCTCAACATAACGTAAACAAAAATACTCACCAGTGGACCAATAAATAACATGAAGATAAACAGAGAAAATATGGAAGTTGTCAAAGAATTAATTTTGCTTGGATCAACAGTCAAGAAATCAAACGATGTATTGCATTAGGCAAATCTGCTGCACAAGACCTCTTTGCCGTGTCGAAGAGCAAAGCTGTTGGGCTGCGAACCTCAAGGTTGGCAGTTTGAAACCACCAGCTTTTCCATGGGAGAAAGATGAGGCTTTCTGCTCCCGTAAAGATTTGCAGCCTCAGAAACCTTGTGCAGGGTCACTATGAGTTGGAACTGACTCCAGGGCACTTAACAACAATGGGCCTGACCCAAGCCATGGTCTTTTCAGTAACCTCATATACATGTGAAAGTTAGACAATGAATAAAGAAGACCATAGAAGAATTAATGCATTTGAGTTATGGTGTTGGAAGACAATATTACCATAGACTATCAAGAGAACAAACACATCTGTGTTGGAAGAAGTATAGCCGGAATGCTCCTTAGAAGCCACGATGGCCAGACTTCATATCTCATACTTTGGATATATTATCAGGAGGGACTGGTCTCTGGAGATCGACATTATTCTTGGTAAAGTGGAGGGTCAGTGAAAAAGAGGAAGACCCCTAATGAGATGGATTGGTACAGTGGCAGCAGCAAAGGGCTCAAGTGTAGCAACAACTGTGAGATTGGTACAGGACTGGGCAGTGTTTCATTCTGTTGTGCATAAGGTTGCTATGAGTCGGTAGTGACTCGACGGCACCCAACACCACAACATATATTATGCATATATTATATATGGAGACCTGGTATGGTGCTGTGGGTTAATGCACTGGACTGCCAGGTTGGTTTGAACCACAAGGTCAGTGGTTCAAGCTCACCAGCCACTCCTCGGAAACTCTATATAGGGTTGCTATGAGTCGGAACTGACTTGATGGCTCTTAACAACAAAAACATATGTGCACACATACATATATATGCACATACTTACTTTCCTATCACTGTTTTCTGCTTGGGATCGGAATAGAGGGGTATGGTTAAGTGTTAACTTATGACACTGTCTTAGCCAGATGTCAGTATCTGCACTTGGTGTAAACAAAGAAACCCCAAACCATTGCCACTGAGTCAAATCTAACTCATGGTGACCCCGTGTGTTGCAAAGCAGAACTGCACTCAATAGGGCTTTTAAAGGTATGTTGTTTAGAGTGTAGATCACCAGGCCTTTTTGATGACTTGCCTTTGGGTGGGTTCAAACTGCCAATCTTTTCAGTAATAAAGTGCTAAATGGTTTGTGCCTTCCAGTGAATCCTGTACTTGCCTGTTGTTTTTTATGCCTAGTTGGTCTTTTGCTATTCTAGTATCTCTAGGTCTGAGACTTAGACTGGATTTAAAAATCCAAAACTGGGTGAGACCAGCTCTGGCTTAGCAATTGACATCAGGTCTCAGTGAGTCTCAGGTCCTAGAAATGCAGTAATCATGCTTTCCCATACTTTATACCCATTCCTCTTCACTTTCCAAGAAGACTGTTCCCAGTGCCTACTTACCACGGAGCAGCTCTCTGGCTCCCAGTGAGCAAAGACTGGGTGTTGGACCCATAGAGGTGCTGTTGTCTGTGGGTGCTGTTAGGTTCTTGGCTCGCTTCTTACACTCAAACACAACCAGGTCTTTGCATTGTTTGTGGCAGTTCATCCCACAGTCTGTGGACAAGACACTTTGTTAGCAAGTCTTTTACTTTCTCTCTTCCCTAAGCTCTCAAGGCCAAATTCATGCAGTACTCTTTTATCCCACACACCTATCCAGTCTTCCCAAGGAAGCTAGTAATTTTTTCACATGGTAAACACTGGATTTCACAATCTTGTCAAAACTCTATCAGTGAGACTCAAAAACAGCGTTCTATTGGATGAAAAGTGAGTTGGTCATCCTGCACATATGCCCACTCTGGTGAAAGATGGCCTCGCCTTCACTCCTGAAATTTCAGTTACCTGTTGGAAGGAAGCTGACAAGATCCTCTGGGAACCATTTATCTTCTGTTCCAGAGGTGAATCTGTCCTTTTCTTTGGAGACCCACCCTTCTGTGACTGAAATACAGCAAACTCTCCTACCAGCCATCCTTATTTCCAGAGGAGAGAGTCTTGTAAGGCAAAGCTGCACTCCTCTCCTGTGTGGTTGCAGCCACCCTTGGGGTGGACAGAAGGAACAACTCTAGGTAGAAACACTTCTGCAGAGAGCCCTCTAGTCTAGGGAGATGTGAGTAATGGCCAAAGCTGACTCTTACCTTTACATCGATATCCTTGTTTGATCACTCCCCAGAGCTATGGGACAAAGAAGAACCATTCAGAACAGTCCACGGGTTCATTTCTCTGCAGTGAAACTACACATTGCCAACCATTGTTTATTTTCCCTGATTCCACCCCTCCTTTAAGTTGGGAGGGAAACCTTTTATATGTGTGTTTCATCTGCCCTTAAATTAAAAACAGGAAAAGTTTGTGCTGATGAGAGTCAGATGTTCTTAAGAAGCTCACTGTAGCGGGTTTATGATCTGGGCCTTTTCCAGGACTGTAATGAAAGGTTCAGAACTCCAGACAAGAACCAGAGTCCAGAGTCCTGTGGTCAGGAACTCAGGTTTGGAAGGGAACTACTGGCTGAGTGGGACAGAGGAAGAGCAGCATCTAGGTGATTTCTTTAAAGGTGATAGTGTCTCTTCCAAGCATACCTAGTTTTTTACTGTGCTTCACAAGTACTGTGTGTTTCACAAATTGAAGGTTTGAGTTAGCCTTGTGTCAAGAAAAGCTATCAGTGCCACTTACCCAACAGCCACTGCTGACTTCGTGCCAAATTTTGGTAATTCTCACAAATACTTCCAACTTTTTCATAATGCTATTTTGTATTTAAACTATAGTGTAAACACAACTTTTTAATATTTGCTGGGAAACCAAAATATTCCTGTGACTGACTTCATTGTGACACTTGTTAAATTGCGGTAGTCTGGAACTGAACTTACAATATCTCTGAGGTGTGCCTGTATTTTTCCCCCTAACATTTGAAACAACACATGAATTTTAAAATAAAGCATTACCACCCCCAGCCCCCAATTACACATTCCCACACCATTCCTCGCAGGCCTCATGCACCAAAGGGGAAAACAAGTCAAGAAGTCAGGAGAAGATGAGGGCAAGTGTTACTCCGGTGTTGGCAATGCTGGAATGACTTAATATGGTCCCAAGGTCTGTGGCTGTCTTTATAATATGAATCATCCTGTCTCTACACCCAATTTCAATCTTAAAGCACTCTAAAAACAACTTACAAATCCAGCACAGTTGTCACAGAAGGTGGGCTTCAGGTAGGTGGTCTCCTGGAAGTTGTGAGGAAAACCTAGGCCCAGCTTGGAGTAGATGGAGCTGGCTCTCATGAAGTAGGCTGTGATCTCGTCCCTGCTGATGAGGCCCTCCCTGCCAGGGAATGACAGGGCAAAGATGTGAGCCAGGGCAGGGGGTGGTGGCTAGTAGTCAGTGTGCCTTCCAGTCTTAGAAAATGATCCCTCTGGTGGTATTAAGTGCCATCGAGTCGGTTCTGACTTATAGCAACCCTGTGTAGGGTTTCTGAGGATTGGCTGTTGGGTTTGAACCACCGACCTTGTGGCTAGCACTCGTGCTGATCCTACAGCGCCACCCCAGGACTGTAGTAGTAGTGCAGTGTGTTTTATAACCTTATGGTCAGTCACTTCCTTGAGCCCTTCTTTTAAGGAAACATGAATACTATGTAATAAGCAAGTGGGATGTCATTACTCATTTCCATGGACTTTTCTTTGGCTCAACTAGGCTCTTCTAATTAATTGTCTACTGTCTCTAAGAATTAGAAAATAAATTACGTAAAATATATACAGTGAGAGAAGATGGCGGATCGAGTAGATGTGCAGTGAGGACCTCCATCAGCAACAACACAATACCGCACCAAGCAGGCTCAGGATGGTGCCAGAACTCTGAACCACATATGAAGGACTATTTAGAAGGTTGGAAGGTTTAAGCTAGGGGAATTTGTAGCAGAAGCAAGAAATGCAGTGCTTTCTAATCCAAGACACTCAGCTGCTCCCGGAGCTGCCATCTTGGGCAACACCAACCAGGGGAAGGATCAGAGCAGCCATGGACACCTGACAGAACCGTGGAAATAAAGGTGTGGACACTTTTTTTTGTATCTGTTCATTGGTCTTTCACTGTCTGTACACCTCCACTCTGTTGGCTAGAGGGGGTGCCTGAGTGAGTGGACTTCCCATCCCCACTCCTGGAGGGTTCTACTACACTTGCACACAGATCTCCTCGAAATTTAAAATGACAGTTTCCACTTAATACCAAACAGTAGTGCAAAACGTCCACAGCCAGCCCTGAACAGTTTATCACTGGGAAAAAGGCCTGAATGGGGATTGTGGAGCAGGACAGGCAGACTAATCAGGAAATAGGCCAAAAACTAAATCCTGAGTTACGTTACAATGAACAACAGTGGCATCTTGAAATTTCTCAGGAAGAAGAATGAAGAGGAAAGCCCATCTCCTGATCACACCTACTTCAAGGCAATCAGAAAGCATAAAAAAAAACACCAAAATACACACTCATTTAAGTATTAAGGCCACAGATAACTCCTGAATATGCCCCCAAAACAGAAACAGATGACCATATCAGCACATGTCCAGAAATGAGATAAAGTGACTGAGGCAAATCAGCTGGAAGTAGACCTACACACTATACTGGAAGATGGGCAGACTTTGGAAATGCCTGAGAAGGAATTCAGAAAAATGATTATAAAATGTGTCAAAACACTATACAATGGAGTTGAGAAAAATATGGAAGAAGTGAGGAAAACGCTACAGAAGAATAACTTAAGAATTATTGGCATTCCAGAACAGGAAGAATCACACAAGTTTACAGAGGAGATAGTTGATGAACTGCAGGAAGAAATTTCCCTAACATCCTAAAAAATGAAAAGATAGGCATTCAAGAAGCTCAACGAACCGCAAGAAGACTAGACCCTAAAAGACAATCACTAAGACATATAATAATCAAGCTCTCCAAAATCAAAGATAAGGACAGAATCCTGAAAGAAGCTAGGGAAAAGAGGAAAATACAAAAGCAAGCAAATCAGATTAAGCTCGGATTTCTTAGCAGAAACCATGCAGGCATGAAGGCAATGGGGAGACATATATAAAACCCTGAAAGAAAAAATTTCTGACCAAGAATCCTCTACTGAGCAAAGCTGTCAATCAAGTATGAAGGTGTAATCAAAACATTCCAGGATAAACAGAAGGTAAGGGATTTTGCCAAAGCCAACCCTGCAATGAAAAACATCCTAATGGGAGTTCTGTGGACTGAGAACCAACAAGAACAGACAATAACCAGAGAATGACGTACATGGCAGCATCACTTTGAACTCAGTCCACAAATGGAAGCATCAAGAACAGAATAAAATTATAAGAACAGAGGATCTGGGAGGTCAGTCTATGATCAAAGCAATTACAATGTGAAAGAAGGTAAACTCAGAGGAATAGAGACCCAGATGGTGGGAAGGTCAGGTAGATTCAGGATAAAACAGACTGTCTTAAATGGAGGGAAGAATTAATGGAATATAAGGTAACCACAACAGTGGGGTTGGGGTAGAGGGTTTAGTTTGGGTGTTGGTGAGGGCAATACAAGCAAGGGGAGGAGGCTGAAGAACAAGATAGATAGGGGAACACTCAGACAGGTTTTCATGGCCTAAATGAGACAGAGGTAATAGTGATGCATGCTCAACCTTGGAACAACAGGGCTCTGTGATACAGGGATCTAGGCATAGTTTCAAGAGGGGAAATAATACTAAGAGGTTTGACTTATGAATATTGTTTTCCCTTGCCTACTAATTGTAAAATAGACATTTGAGTGGGATAGAAAGGAATGTTGGGAAACATGATTACAGAAAACTTATAAGCCCGTCTTCAGCCTATAACTGATTGGAATACCTAAAAAGGGTTCTAGATCTTGCCCAGTGAAATAGGCCTCTTGTGGACCCTTTGCAGAGTATAGGACCTTAGGTGGAATCCTGAGTCCCATGCAGAATCTTCTGAGGTGGGACATTTCCACTAGCAAGGACAAGCAGACTAGCCTGAAATAGTGAGAGCAGGAGAAGATACATCTTCAAAGAAAGATCATCAGGAAAAACCCAAAACAAAAATGTCAGCATGACTGGCTACTACAAGAATAAGCAAGGTGTTTGCCGGGCAGCCATCAAGGCAAGCAATCAATTTCCTTCAGGACAAACTCCCCTCTAAGACTGAAACTCAAAGGGAACACATGAACAGGCATGTAAACTTGCTGGCGACCACATTGGTCTACTGATGAGTGGAAGAGGGAGAAAGGCAGCAATGAAGAAATGGATTGCATTCAACCCCAGTCCATTGACTCCTGTTGACCCCTGGAGATGAGAGAGAAGAGGAAGGGTTGGTTGGTCCAAAGTGTGGTGAGACCTAGGGACACTTGAGCCCATGGACAAGGACATAGCCACAGAAGGCTAGAGCTGAGAGTGAAGCATCCAGCTGATAAGAAGTGAGGGGAAATGCACAAGAACATCCAAACTTGCAAACAGTACCCATTTGACCTTGCCTTGATGGCTTGATAATCAGAACTCAACTAAAGGAAGTTTACCACCCCCCCAAAATTTTTTTTTTATAAACAAGTGTAAATTGCTACAATTTGATGAACCTGACCTAGACTCATGGAGGTAGTAACTCTACCAACAGAGAGGGAAGGAGTCTTCACAATCAAGTATCAATGCTATCCCCTCTGTACACAGGGTAGATAGGGACAGGCAACTTAGATACTGGCTAACTAAAATGAGGGGGTGATAAAGGCACGAAGGGACTGGCTTACAAGGTTTCAAGAGGGAGTGTAGTTTAAGAGTGTGATGGGGGGAGAAAGAGTCCCCACTGAATAGTTTTCATTCTGTATATGGATCTGGTGAAAAGAGATGGGGATACGATTCCTTATGATTCAATAGTGAATAATTGTTATCATGACTAATTGAGACTGTCACAATTGTAAAGGTAGAAGTTTTTTTTAACAAAAACATGGAAGTGGTTAATCCTACAAACCAGAAACAGAGGACCCTAGGACCATCAAGGGAGAAGAGCACAAGCAGAATGTGGGACCTTATCCAGAGAAGCAACAGTGCCAGAGATGGAGGCAGAGATGGGGGCATGGAGAGAGGGAGTGGCTGAGGACTCTAGAGTCATGGGAGGAGAGGGACTAAGAGCCGGTGGCCAGGAGGCAGACTTGCAGAATGTGCCCTTTGGAGATGTAAATTATTAAATATACCTGAGTGTTTTTGTTTTGTTTTGGTTTTTAAAAAAAGCTAAAATGAATAGAGGGAAATACTGTTAACTGATGGTACATGGCAGGGATTATAATCATTGTAATGAAACAAGGTGTATTATTTGTTGAATGTAAAACTGATGACCTGCCCTGTAAACTTTCACTCAATCCACAATAAAAACCTTTAAAATATATATATATATACATATGTTGTTCTTGAGTACCATGGAGTCGGTTCTGACTCAGTGACCCTGCACAGAGTTTCTGAGGCTGTAAATCTTTACTGGAGCAGAAAGCCTCATCTTTCTCCTGCGGAACAGCTAGTAGTTTCGAACTGCTGACCCTGTGATTCATAGCCCGATTCGTAACCACTACTATATATATATATACATACACAATGGGAGGAAAATGCCTCATACTGCAGTTTCTGACTTTAGACAGTGCATAACTGTTTTACATTTTGTTTCATATCGAGAATGAAGCTAGAGTGTACATGACCTTGAAGAAAGTAAATATACGAGGTATTAATAACTATTTGTTGTTCCACACAATTCTAAGGACAAAGCAAGAAGAAAGACTAAAGTTTTTTGTTTCTAGTTGGGCTGCTAACTTAAGGTCAGCAATTCCTATCTACCAACCTCTGCATGGGAAAAAGTTGAGGCTTTCTGTTCCTGTAAAGATTTACAGCCTCAGAAACCCTATACAGGTTTGCTATGAGTTGGAACAGACTCCACGGCACACCACCACTATTCTTATGCTTTTGGACGAATGGAATCTTCCATGCTGAGGTGTTTTTGAAACTTGTGCACTTTAAAACCGATCTGTTGTAGCTGCAACAATGGGCTTAAACATAACAATTGTGAGGCTGGTACTGTGTTTCATTCCGTTGTGCAAAGGGTCACTACTGAGTAGGAACGTACTCCACGGCTCCTAACAACACTGTGCTCCAAACTAAAAGCAGGCATTCATCTGATGTTTAACTCTTTTAGCTGTAAATATTCATTACGGGAGTGCAGCAGCAATACACCATGCCTACAAACCCAATGTAAATATTCTTCTAGTGACACATTCATAAACTTTGTTTACTAGCTAGGGTTCATAACCACATACTCCTATACACCAAGCCTCACCTGTCTTTGTCCATCACACAGAAGGAAAATGGAAAACTTGCAGCAATCTTTTCAAACTCTTCTTGAGAGATGTATCCGTCCTGGTCATGATCATAGTTTTTGAAGACAGACTGTGAAGAAAAAAAAGTCTTTTTGGTGATTCCCAAAGAGAAACCAATCATCTCTATCTTTAGCCAATGGACAAAGAGGGGCTGGGGCAGCTGGTTAAAAGCCTCTCATCAGCCTGAGTGAGAGGAACAAAGAAACACACTCCTTTTGTGCCAGTGACTCCCAGGCCTCTGCTGGTATCTGGATCTGGAGGGTGGCCTTTGTGCTTTCAGTTCCATAAGCTTGTCAATTATGCCATTACCTCTGGCTCCTGCAAACTCCTAATTCACTGCCCAGGGGGGTGTTCCCCTCCACTTCTGCCTGCCTTTCCTCCCTCAGCTCTGCACCATCTCTATGAAGCTGCTCTAAAGAGCTCAGCTGGAAATGCTTGCCGCTGCCCCAGTCCAGTACTCCAGTCTGCCACTCATTGCCTTGTAATTTTCTGTTCCAGTGGAGAACAGACAGTGGCTCGCAAGGATAAATGTAGAAGCATGAAAGTATCTACTGTCGCTTCAGCATTTTGCACAATGCTTTGGTCCAGCAGTACCAATATTTTAGTTTTAGATTATCACTGTTACCTTTAGTTTGACTCAAACCTTTCCCAACACCTCTCTGCCCCTAAATAACCAACAACCTTTTAAACATAAGTTCCTTAGCTGGGTCTTTAATAGGAGACACCCTTCCCCCAATATTAAACAAAGTGTGTGGTCAAAACATAATTCTGAACTGTTAGGCAGCCACAATATGAGAAGTGGTTTCCTCTGCTCACATATAAGCAAGTTTCAAGTTTCTCACCCTTGTGTTTCCACACCACTATGCTTGCTCCCTCCCTGCTCCTTCCATATGCAGAACTACTGCAGGCAGTTCCTTGCTATTGTCGAAGGCAACTGAACTTACATCCACCATCCTCTGGACGTGCTTGCTTATGGTCTTTGGATCCGGTTTGGGAGAGACTCCTGAGGCCCAGTCCACTACTACTGGTGGCTTTGAAGGTGTCAGTGGCTAAAATGAAATATTCAGAGACATCTTTATGACAACAATGCAATATTATTACCAACAGCTCCTTCCTTTCCCACTGACAGTTACAAATATAGACAGCCTCATTTCACACAGCAGCAAGGAAAACAGAATATAGATAATACATAATGTGCCCTACACACACAGTATCTCCATCTATAGAGAATTCAGAGTTCTCAGTTTGCCTGACTTTCAGTTCTTTCTCCATTAAACCTTTTATCAGCACTGTCAACAAAGACTAGAGCGGGTCATTTAGATTTTCTCTGCTCGGTATTCACTTTTTAGTAGAGATACAAATGACAAGAAAAAGAGCTACAAGGCATAAGGAAAGAGGAAAAAAAAAAAATCTGGCCAGTATAAGCTGAGATTGGAACCATTTCTAGATATTTGAGACTTCGATCAAATTAAAATCTCTTCCAAAAATGGAAGAAGGCACCCTTCCTTTTAAAATATGCCCACTTGTAAACACCCTGGAAATACAACCTACCACATGTTTTCTTCATTGAACCTTTCCCCCTAAAATAGGAGCTAGAACTTGAGCTTTCAGTGTAGTGACAATGCCAGTTAGCCACCTGGACAGGTAAACGGCATTATTTCTGATTGATCAACTCTTCCCTGGAATACCACTTGCCTTTGGGTTGGGACACTTCCGAGGAGACTGGGGGTGACTGTCCTTCCAAAGGAAGATGGAAGTCATTTCACCTGTCTGTCGAAGGGACGGGGCAGATACAGTACAGTGTGCAGCACCAGGACTGTACACTGTCTCGATGACCTCTCAATACAAGAGCTAAAAGATCCAGCACACTGCTCTTCCTAACCCCGGTGAAGACAATGATTGGGCTTTTCTACCTACCAAGCTGGAACTCCTCAGTTTAGCTTCTGTCTAGTATGCATACTGCTTTCATTATTCCCAGTGAAACACAGACAGGTAACAAGTACAGACAGCGTGAGGGATGCCACTCCAGCCCACAACACAAATCCCTTCTCTAGTTCGTAAACCACTGGGCGATCCCACCACTACCCATTCCAACGCTCCTATTGTTGTTGTTAAGTGCCATCGAGTCGGTTCCGACCCATAACGACCCTGTACAGGGTTTCCAAGGGTATAAATCTTTACAGGAGTAGAAAGCCTCATCTTTCTCCCACGGAGCGGCTGGTAGTTTCGAACCGCTGACCTTAAGGTTCGCAGCCCAATT